CTCACTGACTTAAAGCCAAGGTTTTTCTAGTCTAGACTTCAGATAAATCTTCGCAACAACCTCTATACTATCAGACGTTTGAGGAACAATTTTTTTATTTGAACTTCGTTGAAATGAAAAAGTTTCTGTAAAAAGTTTCACAATGTTGATTTCGATATCTTGCTGAGACAGATATATAGTTTCAGGTCACGGCAGGGGCTAAATGATAATACCTTATTTTTTCCCCCGAGGAAGACATGATTTTGGATTGTAGACGCCGACCCATATCTTAGTATATCGTAGATAATTCCTTATAAGGCCGTTCGGCACTCCATTAATACAAAACAACAACGAGAATTTAGTCACGTTTATGATTGACTTCTCTTAAAACTTTTGAAATTAATCCACGTGGTAGGGTGTGATTTTTTCGCTTTATTATGGCAATCAAATATAGGAAAAACAAACGTTCTTAAACAAACTAAACATTATACTTCTTAATCTATATGAGGGAACCATCATGCATTTGTTCTTCTTCCTTTCTTTTCCTTCTTGTTGTTTTCCTTTTTTTCTTTTCTCTCTACTTGTTTTTTCTTTTGTACTTTCTTCTCCATTCTTTGGTAGCTTGAATATCGAACATTTATATCGAACGTGCAATATCACTTCCCTAATTGCCGACATCGAGCAAAAACTCTATGGAGTCTCCTTAAGTTCACTTTTTATTCCTCTCAATGATGAGGTTGCGCAATTTCAATCGACAACTGAAACCTAAAACTCCTTTAAAGGAGTGAAATGCGTCATCAAAAGCACGCTACACTTATTAACCGGATAAAGAATGAAAAAGACAAAGTTCTACAAAGCTGCCCTATTTGGATCGTTTTATTTGTTTCATTTTTGCAGAACAATGTAAACTCACTGTCAATGACGAACAAACCGCAAATCATGATGTTAACAGAATTCCAATTAGGCCCTTAGGTTGTTATGTGTAGCCAACCATGAAGGTGTGATGTCAAGTGAATATATATACTTGAGTGGTGACATTAAGATAATTTACGAGGTTCTTGACGTTATTATGCATGGATTGTTTAGAAATCAATCGCTAATCGATGTCAGTCTTAAATAAGCTGTGTAGTAATAACTCAAAGTTTTAAACGGCTTGAATTTCATAAAAAGACTTAATAATGAAATACATACATACATACATACAGGATTGTTCGAGTCACGCTGACTCTTAGCTGATGTGCTTCGAAGATCATGACTGCACATCTTTTGAAGATGACAAATCACCTGAGGGCTCTCAGTAAAATGACTCATGCTTTCATTTTATAATTATGAGTGAGATTGCAGTAAATTATAATTCTCACATTGAATCGCATGTGATCTTTCCAAAAAAAAAAAAGTGGCCAAAATACAACAATTCTATAAACTGTTATCTGTTTTATGCAACCATAGCCTGATTTTGATGGAATATTCGATTCCTTAATGATCTCATACAGTTTAATGTGATCTAAATCAATCTTAAAGTTCACCTGTATTTATCATATCCAGAAAATAAACTGTGTAAGTTAGTTTCCGCCGCATTCACTGACTTGGTTTCCATGAATATTGACCTGAAGCACTTAAATCGTTCAAATTCTTAACTCGTTTCATCACAGGTGTCCCAAGCTCACGATTAAAGGAAAAGCAAACGATGAATTCATGAAAGCGTGATGCGTTATGCGACTTGGTGTTACTAAAGGAGCCATTTAGGATTTTAATACGTTATAAGGAATAGTATGAGGAACTTCCGTTTAATAACAAGAATAACAGCGATGGCAAAACAAGCTTAAAACGGCAGAGAACGCCGGAAACCACAATGGACACACAAGATGTGAGTAAGTTCTAATGATTCTACTAAAATTTCGAAATATTTATCGACCATATTTCGTTTCCCATACTATTCCATATAACATGTTTAACGTGACGCCATCAAGAATTAATCGTTTGCTTATTTTCGAAACGTGAGCTTGGCACGCATGTTTTAAATATTTTTGTAAGAACGGTTGCTGCGGGGGATGTTTGATTTTCGTTAGCTCGTAAGAATGCGCCAGAAACATAATGACGGCGCACCTACATAATTCAATTTATGTAAGGAATTTTAGCGTTCTATTTCAGACTTATGGATCATTTATGAATGAGATTGGTAAAAAATTACTTCTCATGACCTTTTTGATAAGAAGGTCAACATACAACAATTCTTTAAACTGTGTTACTGTTTTAAACAGTCACCGTGTGATTTTGATGGAACAATTAATTCCATTTATTGAGTGGCGAGGTTTCGCCTTAGAATTTCGCTTGCTAATCAGCTTTTTTATAGGAGCTTATTTCACTGAAAGAGGACTTTACTTTGATTTTGATGTTTGAAAGAGCAAAGAAGGAGACATCTTCAAAGAAAAAAAAATCAGCAAACTTCACACTTACTACGACTCAAAATATTTTGTTAATATTCTTATGTTAATTGATTGAGGGTTTCAGTTGTGGTATATTTTCAAACATCTTCAAAAAGAAGAAAAATCTTTGCATCATGCCTGTTTCACAAAGTTCTACTTTGCTGCTCAGTGTGACACTGTTATTCGCGATTCAGTAGTTATCTTCAGTTGTTGGATTTGAGAAATGAAATTGGGAACCATTCTCTGTTATATTGTGATAGCCACTGTATTGTTTCTTTTACTTGGTTTCATATCACTTGTTTTTTTCCCTATTTTTAGCTCTTCGTGATAACGAAGATTTGTCACACTCGTCTTTCGCTCTTTAGCACCGGCGTGCTCTTGTGATGATATTTGGAGAGAGAGAGTTTTACAAACACTACTTTCTCGGGCTCGCACGCCTTAGCCTACGGCTGAAATTCGGTGAAGATAAAAGGACAAACTATGAGACTGTCTATGCCTCGTTATTGACCGAGGATTGTTGGCAGAGGTGGATTTCGATCTCTCAAACCTCCAAAGAATCTAAAACGCTTAATGAGTTTTGATCCTAAGAAAAGAAAGCATGGCTAGGAAATTGCAACTATTGTTCATGTTTGTGTCGAAGCTTCAGCAGTTAAAATTTTCAAGCAGACCAAATGGAGCCGAACAGCCTATAACTGTCTTAATCTTTAACGGTCAAAAAGCTGACAATCTATGTTATGTCGTTGTTAGTGAATGTTCCGGCATTAGAGAAACGGAAAAAAGACCAGGTTTGACTGAGAATGTCAAGGTACAATTGAATAGGTAAGTTTTTTTACCGTTTTATTGTTTACTTCATTTGAAACTATGATTATCCTGTTTCTACGCCAATATTTTGTTGTTTTTATCATTGAAAACAGACAGGCAAAGAAAGATGGTAGAGCATAACGCTGTTATTGAAACGGACCATCAGCTTGAATTAGAATTCCCATTCATTCTAAACGGCAATGATAAATTTCAACGTGAGTTATTTATTTATTTTGCTTTGAATGTTAATTGAATATTTTTTAGCTCAGGTTTTGCGTTGCGTTTTCCCCTTCCGCATTTATATCATAAGCTAGTCATTCAATAATTGATACCGACACAAGTGAATATTTACCATTTATAAAGATTTTTGTTT